GATATTATATTATGTAATGGAATAGTAATTCTACTTCTTCTTTTTTGCTTCTCATATTATGTACTGTGATTTATTTCGTCTGGATATCATTATGCAAAACACACATATATATATACACAAAGAGAGAGAATGTGTGTTATTATTTGTTTGTAATATGAGCATATTTTACTATAGTTAATAATAGATAATTTAATTCAGATTTAAGTATACTTTGAGCGTTTTATATACTTAGGAATATTAATTTTGATCATCGAGATTTTTAAATATAATCTCTAAACATTTATGTGATATCATCAAAGATCTAGGTACTTCTATTTCTTATACGACGCTCATTTACATAAAGTGTCGTACGAACGGAAAGTCTGTCCTCGCCAAATATTTGACGACAGGAAGCGGTGAAATTCTATTAAAGATCGTACATGCGGCAAAAAATCGATGACACCGTGCTATTCGGTTGTCGATAAAATGGCACGTTCCAAAATCGTTTATTGAACGTCAGCTTCATCCATGACGCGGTAACGTCGAAGCTGCAATGGCGAACTGAATGTACGAGATTGAAAAAAAAAAGAAGTAAAAAACTACAAAATTCAAGATGTCGACAAAGTTAGAAACGTTGCACGCGACTAGCATCGATATGATGTCCAGAGGGAGACAATTAGGATAAGATGCACCCTGAAACGTCGTTTCTTCGGGATAAATTGGGGAACCTAGGACAAATCTTGTTCAATTTTATCGCGCCGATTGTTCGTTCGTGATGATTGCATTCCTCGCTGCCGCAATGGCGAGACCTCCCGCAAAAGACATCGCCAGAAGGGAACTCCCTCGTAACGAAAAATGTCCCGCTGATATAGGGGACAAAGGCGAGCCGCGTCAAAGGTCGCTGGTGATCCCACAGAGTGCCGCGCTTTTCGAGCCTCTCTTTCGCAATCCGCCGATCTCCGCGTCGCGCGTTGTGTGTGTCACTGAAAAAGGGACGTTTATCGAGGCGCGAGTAAAAACGTTATTTCGGATGACCTACCTGGGGTGCATTGACGTTGTGTGCCCAGGCTCACGTACACACACAGACATACATGCCATGATCAACGGATGTTCTAATTACCGGGTACAGAAAACGCCCTACCACAGCTTTTTATCTCGTCTACATCCTCCCCCTCTTGACGAAGAGCTCCGTGCAGGTTCTACTTTCGCCGCTAAGAAGGGCTATCCGCTTTGATAAAGCGAACAGAGCTAAAAGATACTTCCTCGACCTTCGTAATTTTTCGCATTCGTGCCAAACGTTAATTAACCCCGCGTGTTACTCCCGATGGCGTAGCATTACTTAACGTTAACGTACTATATACTCGGGGCAAATATAGCTATTCTAGTTTATTTTAGCGTTTAAATATTAATCGTGTCGTTTAAGTAATATTAAAATGCTCACAGGGAAAAATAAATTTGTACGGTGTGAGAAACGAAAGTCTTTCTAAGCTAATTTTGTAATAAATCTTACAAAATACGGGAAATTGATCGAGTTCGAAAGGTTCAAACCTCGGTTCAAACAATTATTTAGAAATATATTATTTTAGTAAAGAGAAATATGTACTATTATTTATAATTTATTATTTCTCTCTCTCTCTCTCTTTCCCCCTCCTCCTCCTTTTCCTCCTCTTTCTCCTCCCTCTCTACCCTTCCTTTCTAAAAAGTTACTGAAAAAGTTACAAAAGATTTATAGAATATATATATTAATCAATTTCGTGACATAACTAACTCATTTATCTTCTTTATTTCTTAAAATTGATTGTTCCCCTGAACAACGATAATATCAGAAGTAAAATAAAACGTCAAAATGTCAATGATACTTATTATCGAGTCGTTTCTCCGATTTTCGTCAGACCTCACAGGATTAACGATCTGTGTATCTGCATAGACTTCAAACGCTGCGTTTTCTGAATGTGGGTTGGCGTCCTGCCGATTGAGAGAAGGATGGGAAAGGTAGGGCAAGTCCTCTGTCGCTACACGAATAAATGGTGCCTTTTGTGGTCGCCGCCGAAAGAGGGAAGGAGAGAAAGAAGAATGGAGAAAGAGAGTGTTAGGCGCGGGATATAAGACGCTGCACCTCCCTCTGCCTTATACCTGATGCGATCCGATGCGATCGACCCTCCGAAAAATCTATTCCTGGAAGAGTTCACGGGACACACAAACCGTGCGTGTAGTACACTCGTTCAGACGCACACGCTCATATAGACTTCTCGTTCACGCTGCGAAAGCTCGTCGACTCAGTCGCCGGTGGAACGTCGACCGCGCTGCACTTCCTGCCGCCGACTGCCTTGTTTTCGGACAGTTGTCCCAGATGCTTCTTCCTACAAAAGTGCTGTCGTCGAGTGGCGGCAAGTCGACGCATCTACGGATAAATCGAAAATGGTTTTTATTTTCAATTACTTTCATCGTGAGAACACCTTTCGTGCTTGGAGAAAAATCTGTCGTGAAGGGACTTTGAATTTTATTTTGCTAGCAGGATATTTTTTTATGTTGTTCTTTTGCACACGAGTATAATCGCGCGTCTTTTTTTTATATATCATCGCAATCGCATTATTGAAATTCATGGAATTTTGAGAATGTTTTGATTGCATTTATGTCGAGGTGGCTTTCGCGGTAATGTGACACGATTTCGTGACGGCGATGTGGTATATAAGGTGTCATCGAAGAGCATAAGCTGCGGCCTTGCGTGCGGGGGATCACGCTCGCAGACAAGGAAGGATAAGGGATTGGCATACGAAAGGAGAGCGCTCGATCGTGACAAATATCCTTTATGATGTGGTGCGTGATTCCGATTAAACTGACTCAGACGATTACATCCGTCTGTTGTGACACGAAGTTCTTCTTAAGAAGCTATATCCAGATCTTTTCCTGAGTCTCGTCTGTATAAATTGGGAAAATGTTCAATCAGCAAATTATTTTATTCTCTCAGCGCCAAACGATATCTTCAGACCAACGTGTGTTTTTTTATCTACCAGATTCTCTGCCAAATAGAAAAACATTTTTGAGTGAAAATATGTCACGACACTTATAGTTTATAAATAATTAGTGATTGAATGTAAAAAATTTCCGATCAATCAGGCTTAAAGAAAAATAATTAATGTCAAAATTATATTTTGAGATAATTTCAAGGGGATTCTATTTTAATATAGAATTTAATTTTTACAAAGATGTTTAATTTAAAAAAATAAATTACAATACGTTTCTACAGTTTTGCTAAGAAAACATTGACAGCTTAAGAGAATTTTCAAATCTTCTAGAAATAGTGTACACGGAGCCTCACAAGTCTCCGATTAATTTTAACAACAGATTCTTTGCTAAATCCAGCATCAACTTTCATCAATTAAGTAAAATTAAGATTTGGAGTTCGTGGCGTGTCTAATATAATAACTCGTTAACGCGCGCGGTATCTCATTAAAGTTGTAATATTAATAGCGAGCGATTTTGATCATGCGCCTCCGGCGTCGACTATTAAAACACCTATACAATAATAATAGTTATGAAAATATTTCCCCCGTGGTTAACAACCGCGAGGCGCACACGATTAACATCATTAAATATTTCCTCGCGCCCTATCATAAGCCGTTCGCGCGGCCATGGTAATTGCAATGAAACGCCGCGCCATGGGGGGATGATCGTGTTACAGAGGATATATTTATACACATTTAGCGCGAGGACGAAATAATTCGTGCTATACACTTGTTACCACGGTAGGGAGCGGCCCGACGACGCGTGGAAACAAAATTGCCACGCTGATCATTTTTTTCGCGAAACGCTAACGCAACTCTCCGTTCGTGAAACGTTTGCGAAATATTTCGGCTGGTTTCCTCTTACGCGAACGCAGAACGCGAACTTCCGCGCTATTCAGTTTCGGACGACGGTCACTCTTGTCAACCGCGGTCGCCGCGCGTGACAATCCGCTATGCGCCTTCGGCCGAGCACATTCGTGACTTATCAGTTTCGCGCTTCTTCCTCGTGTCCCCCTCACGGTGCAAAGACGACGCTGAATTATAATGCGAGGCGCAAAAGGTGGTTCGCGTGATTGTCTCTTGTCGATTTTCGTCAAAGGCCATCGGTCAGTCGATAACGCTGTAAAAAAAAAAAAAACAGATTGGAAGGGAACTTATTCTTGTGAGATTTAAAGACCGTCCAATCTCCACGAGAGATCGAATGGTTCCGTTTATACGATGCGAAAATTCGTAGATCCCTTCTATCGCTCTCGATGCTCTCTCTGTGTAGTCGCATGCCGTACGCGGGATGGAGAGATATTGACTTCAGCTTTATACGTGACACGTTCAGAACTCGAAGTGAAGGGATCGAGTCTCTATAATTTGTTCGGATCCATTTTAGATCCGCTTTAACCCCGAACGCTCCGCATCTTAATCCATTATGCAAGAGATTCTCTTTTTTTTTTTTATTTTAACTCTCGATGACTCTCATAAGGATTAAAGTGAGTCGACAGAGATAGACGAGAACGAAGAGGAATTCAATAATTCTAGAAGTAATTCCTGATATAGAAGATCGGGAATCGTCTTGCCTTCGCTCTCTAAATTCCTGTTCGGTTCTTCTCATTTGATGTAATTTCCTGCAAGGTGGAATAAAAGGGGAATACGAAATTGTGTTTACAGTCGACAATGGTCCGGCGACGAGGAGGACGAAGGAACGAGGACGGGCCACATGACGACCGAGCATCCCTTGGCCGAGGCCACGATCCCTCTGGTCAGTCATTCCAGGCTGCAGGAGCCGTCTTCCGTCCTGAATGTCGCCAATGTGCCCACCGGCGGAGGTCAGAATGCTGCGCATCGCGCACAGAGCCAGCAAGAGAGCGTGTTACAGAAATTCCGTAAGAGCTTCTCGCTGAGGTTCCACAAGAAGGGCAGTAAGGAGAGCAACGAGGAATGCCCCGCGGAAGACAACGACGGCAGCGGGCCGTTGGACGAGGAGGAGGGCGCGGAGACGCCTTCCGTAACCACCTCCGACCAAAGCAGCCAGCACAAAGACGATTCTAGCAATGACCAGAAATTCCGGTTCGTATCGCGGTCCCGTTCTCTTTGACCGAGCGTGACCTTAGATTTAGATCCCGAAATATCGCTGTTAGAACCGCGTTGGTCATTTGCTGCGGGTAAAAAGAATAATTCACTCGCATTTTGAAAATAATGAAGGATTGGTTTTAGTGCAATTCATACATTATAAAGAGGCAACGTATAGAAAAGACTGTTTACATCACTTTGATGAAGCGAATCCTTCATCGATTCCATTTTCCTAATTTCCAGTATATGATATGCATAGAGTTTTGATCTAGTATATGATGCATAGAGAATTTAATGATAAACGATACGAGATATTAATGTTTTTAATTTTTATGAAAATGTATATATTTCATGTTATAGAAAAAAATTTATTATCAAAATACCGAGCGTGTATGTTACTGAGTCTGAGATTGATTCTGCTTAGATTCCAGCAATTATATAAGTAATTATATAAACTGTCAAATTAAGTTAACGTGTTTGACATAGGCAGCGATACGAGGAGATCGTGTCCTCTAACGACATTTATCTTGAGAGGATCAGCTTGACCACGATTTAACTGATTATGTTTAGATTCGGTCCACTCGTCTGGAGGAGCAGCAAGGAGAGGAAAAAAGGTAATAAAGCCGCCCGGAACGCCAAGTGCAACAGCGGAGACAGCGGTATACAAATCGAGGTGAGAAAACGAAAGAGAGAAAGAGAAATCCGTCTGTTCCTCCGAAAGTCAAGTTCCGTTGGAAGTTCGAGAGATGGTCGAGTGACGTCTAAAGGCGTTTGAAGGATTGGAACGGTTTCTAGACGAAACATGAGAGTCTTACGCGGTTGAAAGGTATCTTAATCTTTCAAGCATCTCTCGAACGTCTTTCGGATGACTTAGACGACATTTTCGAGGCGTTCGTTTAGCTCGACTCGACGAGAAAGAGCTGACACATGAAGGAAGTAAATATATCGCAAACGTTTCGCACGAATGACGTAGATGGTATCTGGTGGAGCGTTGACTGGGGGCAGTGGCGGCGGAGTGATGGGGGGTGGTGACAGCTCCGAGTCCCACGATACGGATGATATTCCCGACGACACCGATAGCCCTCCGGCCCTTCGCAGACGAGTTGCCGATAAATTGCGGCCCCAGTCCGAGCTCATCAACCAGATACTGATTGACAAGTTCAAGGTAAACTTTTCGACACTTTTCTCATCGTTGCAGCTAACCGTTGCCTCTCGCATCTTTGTCAGAGAACGTTTCAGCTTGCGCCAAACACCGCTCGTATTGATACATTAGCTTCTTGCGACACAAAAATAGTTGATGCAAATCGCGATGGACATTTTAATATTAATTAGTAATATGTCAAATGTGCGCGATCTTTAACTTTATTATTCGATTCGGGGTTAGAACCAGAATGGCAACGAATGGCCCTTTTCGTAAGGGCATGACGCTG